TGCTCGACTGTTTCACTACAATGGAGGAGAAACTGCTGTTCTTTGTTCTCTGTCTGGATTTTGCATTTGCCCTAGGTAGCACAGGGAGACACCAGAGTCATTTGTGGCTGGAAAAAATGGATTTGTGACCAGGAAGCATGACAATAATCTTCTTTATTGTCAATTAGGAAATTATGAAACTTTCTCCTGAACTGTGGCCATGGACTGCCTACTTTCTTGCCCCTACTATCTAGTGAGTAGACTATTTGAGCAGATGCACAAATGAATGAAAGACTGCTAGTTCTATGTATATTCAAAACTAAAGCCACAATTTATTCCAGGCAAAATTTTAAATTGTGTAGGTTTTGGTAGTTAGCATTGAAATATTAATTACTGATCACAGGAAAAGTACTTTGAAAATTTATAAATTTTGTTGATGTTGAATATGTTCACAATAATTTATGCAACAGAAAGGATGGCCTATAAGCAATAAAATTTCACTGAGCTCTGACTCATAAGCATGATTTAAAATTGATTACAACATAGCATAAAAGCAATACAGCAACCACTATTTTAAATTTAATTTAAATGTTTTATTTTTAAAAATAATTTATGCATGAGAGTTGCATTTACACCATTTCCTTCTCCCCCACTTCAACTTCTCCTATGCTTTCTGTGTCCTTTGCAAATTTATGAACTCTTCTATAACTATTGTTGTTACACACGTACTTACATATATCCACATGTTTATAAATATATCCACATACATACGTAAATATATCCATACACATACATATACACACTCACAAGCATATATCTTCACAGACATACATACATATATCCACACACATACATACCTATACTCACACACACATACATGCATACATACATATGTCAACCCACACATGCATGCATATATCCATCCATCCACATACACATCTACACACACATACATAACTATATTCACAGACATATATGCATATATCCATATACACATACATACATATATCCATACACATACCACCTACAGAGTCTATTTAGAGTTGTTCATATGCAGACATGGTTAGTACTGACCACTTGGGGTTGGATAACCTCGCAAGGGACTCATCCCTGGAGAAAACTGATTCCCGTCTCTCGGCAGCCATTGATTGTCTATAGCTCTAATTGGGGGAAGTGGGGTGGGTAATACCGAGGGAGAAGGAGGACCAAGAGATAAACAGTACAGAGATGTTTGGAAACAGCCATAGGTAGGTATATATTATTTCATAATCTTACTTAAAACACACATGTAATGTATGTGTGTGCATATAAGCTTTTAAAAATGGTTACTCTACTCAGGAGGTGGTGGCCCACACCTTTAATCCCATCACTTGGGAGGCAGAGGCAGGCCAGTCTCTGAGTTCCAGGCCAGAGCAAGTTACAAGACAGCCAGGGCTACACACAGAAACCTTATCTCAAAAGACCAAAAATGAAAAAACAAATAAATAAAAATAAAATGGTTACTTTAACAGTTTAGTTTTTGTGTGTTATTTTCTTATTTGTAAAGTTTTTTAGAAATAAAGTTTTAAAATAAAAATAAAATATTTCTAAATTCTAAATTGATAACCTTTAACCAACAATATTGATTTTTAAACAAGTTCTGTATTTAGTTGTTAAAATATGAGCATTGTCAGTACTGGGGGAAAGCTTGCAGCATGAAACTATTTGGTGAGCATTTTAACATAATTGTATTAAAATATTTGTACATGTACTGATGTGTGTTAGGTCACTGAGATTACATCCAGATTATAAGTAATTATGCTAAATGTGAATATTATTACTCAGCTTCAAGTGATGTGAAATGACTAGTGTTACAGGCTTCTAATTGATCTGAGACAGCTCTGTGCTGGAGGTGGCTTCTCCCCAGTTCTCCTCACATTTTCCATCTGTGTACCGTCTTTAGGATACACTATTATTATCAAGGTGATAATTTTAGTTTAGGCCCTAATAAAGAAGCCTCAAGTAAGACAACTTCTCATTTGCTTTACTAACCTCTGTGAATTATTTACTACACAAGGAACTCTAGAACAGCAGTGCCCCCAGACCTCCATCACCCAGAACAGCAGTGCCCCCAGACCTCCATCACCCAGAACAACAGTGCCCCTCAGCTTCCATCACCTAGAACAACAGTGCCCCTCAGCCTCCATCACCCAGAACAACAGCGCCCCTCGACCTCCATCACCCAGAACAACAGTACCTCCCAGCCTCCATCACCCAGAGTAACAGTGCCCCCCAACCTTCATCACTCAGAACAACCATGGCCCTCAGCCTCCATCACCCTGTATGACAGTGCCCTCAGCCTCCATCACCTAGTATAATAGTGATCTCCAGTTGCCATCACCCAGAACAACAGTGCCCCCCAGTCTCCATCACCCCGAACTGCAGTGCCCCCAAACCTCCATCACCCAGAACAACAGTGCCCCCAGCCTCCATCACCCAGAACAGCAGTGCCCCCAAACCTCCATCACCCAGAACAGCAGTGCCCCCAAACCTCCATCACCCAGAAGAAAAGTGCCCCCCAGCCTCCATCACCCCGAACAGCAGTGCCCCAGCCTCCATCACCCAGTATGACAGTGCCCTAGCCTCTATCACCCACCAGAGACTAAGCTGACCAACAGTTAAGTTGGCTTAATACTTGAAACTGGAATTCTTGTTCTGGGAGAATTCCCCTTGAAAATTAGTTCACTAACGTTTTATGTAAGCCTTAAAATGCTTTATGTTTTCTCATGTCTATGCTTCCTCTTATCCATTCAATTTCATTTCATAGGATGGGATGCAGCCTAGTCTGGTAGAACACTTGTCTAGCTCAGTCCCCAGGACCTCAGTGACTAAGAAAGGAAAATGAGTCATTCTCTTTAATAGTGTCATGTTCCTTGTATTCAGTCCAGTTTTCTGGAGCAAACCTTGGACTAGCCTCTCTGACCATCACTCGATAGCTGTGGCTACCACCTCCATTCTCCCTTTATATATTTGTATAAGAAAGCAAACACTTCTTTACTGTATAGACGTCCCTTCTGATATGTGGGGATTCTTTTTACACAGTCAGTTTTCAAATAGTCTGCAGATGTCAGCTGGTTGTTCAGTCATGCAGTTCAGTTTGCACATTGACTGACCTGGAGTTGTCGTAGTTAATGTTGGCTTCCACAGGGTAAGGCCTCAGTACCAACTTCAGAGGTCAGGAGTACAGATCCAGTAACTGTGAAATTGGCTTCCAGACCTCATGGAAACACTTAAAGGAGCTTGTTCTTTTATATAAAGAAACACAAAGGCAGCAGGTTCTCAGAAGTACACAGAACAACAGCTAGAAAGGTCCTGAGTCCAGGAGATCCTACTTTGTGGAAGCCTGTGCATCAACCTCCGGACACATGCTTACAACCCCCAAAAGCATAGTTTTCAATGGAGGTATGATTGATCGGTAACATAATTTCCAGTATTTTTCTTCTCTTCCCAGAAGTTGGGGGTAAAGAGAAAATTCTAAGTCTCCATCACAACTCAGTCTTTTTAAGCTGGTGACCAACCGTCATCCTGGAAACCCAGTAAGACCTGAATCATCAGAGCCAAAACTGCTCTGACACCCAGGAGGTTCCAAGACATTTAAGGAATTCTGCATCCAAGGCATGAAGCAGAAGCAATGGATTTCTTATTATTTCACAATTATAAATAACATGTCTTCCTCACTTCTGGTTCATTCCAGTTCAGTGTTTCCAAAGTCTGATCCAGAGACCACATTCGTCTAGATTTCCCTGAATTCTTTTCATTAGAATGGCATAAGACCATGTAGATGCAGCAAGCCTCCAAGCACTCATAACAGTCTAGCCTTCTGCTCTCTGCCACGTGTATGTGGAGGACTCATGCATTAAACTGATTTTTCTTGAGAATGAATTTAAGAACACAGTAAAAATCCTGATGCCTCATATGCTCAACCTTTGATGGTTCTGTCAAAACTCAGAGGCAGTAGGAAAAGTCCTGTTTAACATCCCGTTACACTTAATTGAATTCATTTTGTTGTACCGTTGTAAAGTTTCCTGATATTAATGAATACATGATTAGTTAATTAGGCACGATTAGCTTCATTACACTTCAGGTTTTTTCTTGTTCATATTTAGTTCAGACTACATGATGTGCCTTAACAAAATTCTGCAACCATCTCAGAAGAGCTGCCTGAGGTTCCTGTTGTTGTCATGACCTTAACACAATTCCACAACCGTCTCAGAAGAGCTGCCTGAGGTTCCTGTTGTTTTCATGACCTTATCACAATTCCACAACCGTCTCAGAAGAGCTGCCTGAGGTTCCTGTTGTTCTCATGACATTGCTTTCTACACATCATCTTCCCCTCATGCACAGCTAAGCCATTCTACTTTCCTCCTAGGAAGGACCATTTTGTGGGGAGGTGTAGAAATTTCTACATTTTTGATTGCCCTCCCTCCCTTCCTCTTTTCCTCCCTCCCTCCCTCCTTCTTTTCCTCCCTTCCTCCCTCTTTTCCTCCCTTCCTCTCTCCCTCCCTCCCTCCCTCCCTCTTTTCCTCCCTTCCTCTCTCCGTCCCTCCCTTCCTCTCTCCCTCCTTCCCTCCTTCCTTTCTGTGAGGGTTCCCCTTTTCCTCCCTGCCTGTTGGCCACCAGTCCATTAGGACAAAAGGCAGAAGCAACAACAGCACCAGTATTCCTGCCCCAGGAATTATGGACATGGGTCACAGTGTCGGCCTCTGCAATACTTTGCTAACTATATTTAATCTCTAAATGTCCTATTGTCAATGTTGTTGTTGGAAATAAATACATTGCAAACACACACACACACACACACACACACACACACACACATCACACCACACACAGGGCTTTGGGTACCACAGTGCTGCAGCACTAGAGTGAGGTAGTTTGTTCTCTTGCCAGATTTATGAAAAAATGATGATTTCACTTAAAACCCAGAGGTATTTCTGTGTGCAGCAAAAGCAACAGTCAATAAATTCTTTTTTCATTTGCAGACATGAAGGAGATGAGTCCCAGAAGTGGATATTTGGAACAGATGGCTGTATTTATTCTAAGGTGAGGATAGAACACACCTTTCATTCCTAAGAAAAGTTGTTCTTAGATTCATATAAAATAAACTGCTTTGAAAGAGATTCTGTATCTGCACAAATGATATTGCTTTCTGCTTTGAAATTGAATTTTTAGCTTAATTTAACTCAAGGGTTATTCTGGAATTTTTATTTAATTAAAAAACATTGTTTTTCAAAGTGAAAATTAATTTTTCATAACTCTTTGACTCCACACTTTGTTTCTTTACACTTTAAAATAAGACTAGTTCAGTGCCTGCTTGATTTTTGGACTAACAGACGTGTTGCCGTCTTTAGTATTAGCTTTTTACCCTCAAGTTCTGTTGGGCAACCAAGTGAGATTGTGAGAGCCTATGTTGTTTGAGGGTCTCTGGAAACCCCTGGCCAACAAACTGGAGGGAGAAGCACCCTACACCTGTGACTGGGATGTTTGACAGTCCACGGTTTCTGGGAGAATTATCCCCCATGTGGGGGAATTCCAGTTACACTACTTTAGAAACTATGTTTAGGGGCTGGAAATATCGCTTAGCATTTAGAAGCATGTGCTGCTCTTGCAGAGGACCAGGTTCACACCCCAAAACCCTTACGAAAAACACCCTTAACTCCACGTAGACCCAAAGCCTCTGCAATTCAAGATCACCAGCACTCATGGGCACACATTCACACACACGTGCACGCACAGAGGCAGGCGGATCTCTGTGAGTTCGAGGCTAGGCTGGACTGCCAGCCTCCAAAATAATACAGAGAAACCCTGTCTTGTAAAACCAAAAAAAGAGAATACATTATTTTAGGACACTTATAGGTTTCCACATGGTTTTTAAAAACACCCTTTACATTATTTAGTGTTTTCCTGATTGCTACGGATGCTGAATATTTTTAAAAATACCTCTTAGTAGGACTCACTGACAGATGTGGAACAGAACCAAGTTTCAGGTGCATCTTCATCTTTTCTCCCCCAATAGCCCTGCCTGTGATTTCTATGTGCATGTGTCAGAGTTAAACCTGAGTCCATGGACCATTGAGAAGTGATTAGAACATTCAGGCTCTAACCAAGTGAACTGATTAATCCACTGATGAATAAAATAGAACCAACTAATAGGCAGTGGGAGCCAGGGCTGGGTACGTCACTTTTCTGTGCAAGGCATGCATGGTGCTGGCCTTTCCCTCATCCCAAGCACACTCCTCTCTGGCTGTCACGAAGTGAACGTCTTTACTCTATCATGCCCTTCAGCCATGATGGCCTGCCTCACCATAGGCCCAGAGACATGGAACCCCATGCACTGAAACCATGAACCTAAATAAATTCTTATTCTCCCCTTGGGCTATTTCCAATGTTCTCCCTGAGACGGAAGTTCTTCTAACACTGCTCTAGTACCTTCCCAGTGTGCAGCCTCTGTCTTTACCATGTAAGTGTATCGTCCTCTCCGGAGCACGTCTCTGCAAGCAGATGATGCATGCTTTCCTTCTTAAAACGCAAGTTAGTTTTAAGTAGGTTTGGATTCTAACCTTCATTCACAAATACAATCACTGATTTTTCTATAATTATTATAAATCCACAGAGAGAAACTATTTATTAATGAATCATTTCAGGCTTTGAAACATTTGAAAATTTGACTAGCGCCACATGTAGTCATATCCAAGTTATTTCCATACATTTAAAGATAAAATGGAGGATAATTTGGTAATTATTTGCAGCTGTGCTCATGCCATTTAAATTTTTTAAGGATGGAATTGCTGCTGTAGGATACTATAAATGTATCTTGGCTCCAACACTTATTAGCTGTGTGGCCTTAGGCAAATCACCTAACCTTTCTGAGCCTCACATTCTTCATCTGCAAAGTGGAGACATTAACGCTAGCATTGTGAGCATTTGGCACAGATCCTGGCTTAGAACAGCTAATTGGTAATTTGAAGTTAATAATGATAATAACGGAAAAATTTAAATACATTTATTGCATTTTACTGTGTTGTTTTTACTTGGATAAATGTTTTCTTTTTATGTCAACTATTTCTTTACTCACTTGCAAAAAGTAATACAATCGTGTTTCATTGATATTTGACTAACCACAGCTAAATTCAATATTAAATATGAGCACTCACATAGAAGAAAATGTACATTGAAGCATCTAACTCAGTGTAGTGTTAAGTATGCGATTTGGGAAGCATAGAAAAACAGTCTGTTTAAGAGAAGACTGCCTTGGGGCATGTGTGAAACTAAGAACTCCTAAGCTAATAATAGCTTAAGCAAAAAGTAAATAAAGAATCTGGGCATGGTAGCTAATGCCTTTAATACCAGTACTCAAGAGGCAGAGACAGGTGGATCTCTGTAAGTTCAAGGCTATCTTGGTCTACATGGAGAGCTCCAGGGTAGCTTGGGCTACATAGAGAGACACCATCTAAACAAAATAAAACACAAAAGGTAAATAGTAAATAAGGAAATATGGAAAAATCTTAGCAACATAAGCATCAGAGAGTGAGATAATATAATACTATATAGTAAGGCTGGCATTTCCACAGGAAAGTTTAAACCGTTTGATAGAAAAAAAGGTCAAAGGACATTCAAACAAAATAAATCAGAAGAAAAAATAAAAGTCAAGCCAAATAAAGCATGTGGTCTCATTAAGGAGTCAATCACACTGTCAGACAGTGTGATGGTACATTCCTCCCATGAGAATAATAGTAAGCCTGGGACTCTCCAGTCTGATGAAGGTTATGGGGTACATACATGCTCACCTCTGAGTAGCATTAGTTTTCTACTGTGTGCAGTAACTTGTCTCCAAAGCACAGAAACTTCAAGCAGCAAACACTCATAGTTTCATGGGTTGGGAATCCAAAGTGACTTCGCTGTAGTTATCATCATCATCATCATCATCATCATCATCATCATTATCAGCAGCAGCAGCAGATATTGCCTGCATGTATGTCTATGCACTTCAGGCATGTCCAGTGTCCAGGAAGTCAGAAGAGGATGTTGGAAGTGGTGTTATAGGTGGTCGTGAGCCACCTTGTGAGTGCTGAGAATCAAATCTGGGTCCTTGGGAAGCACAGCCAGTGTTCTTATTCGCTGAGCCTGAGCCATCTATCCAGCCCCTCACTGGGTAGTTATAACTCAGAGTTTCTCATGAGAATGGGGCCAATATGTTAACCAAGAGCTTCAGACGTCTGTGGCTGAATCAAGATGGGAAGTCAGCTTCTGAGTGCATTCACACCTGCTGCTGCCCAGAGGTGTTAGTCCATCACAGTGTGACCTCTTCCTACAGCACTGTCCATAATGTGAGCTGTTGGAACAAGACAGGAAGAAGCAAGGAGAAAATAGGAGCTTTGGTGTCTCTGATAAGGTCATTTATACTTCTGCCAAATTCTTTAGATCACATAGATCTATGCTGGCAAATGAGGAAAGGGACTACACAAAGTTATGAATACAAATGGTATTTTATTTCTCAGGGTCCATTTGGCAACAATCAAAATTATTTAAAAAAATTCCCCACAGTCCTTTAATTCAGAATTCCCATGTACAGCTGTTCACTCTGAAGTGGGAGGCATGCTGACATACCTTGAAGAATGTTCATTATAGCATTGTTCAGAACAGTGAGAGCTGACACTGAGTCATCAACGGACTTCACTGTCATTATGAGTGCTGGTGGTAACGTCACAAATCTATAGGGTAATTTACAATGAGAGATGAAACTGCCAACGGCATGAGCTGGTAAATATGAAGTAAGAAAGCAGTATCACTTAGGTGTATTTACATTATACCAAAGGAATGTATGTATAGGAAGAGATCAGGACAGCAAATTTATCAAAAAAATAGATGGTAGCATGATAATTTTGTCCTTTGCTTTTCTTTGTCCCTCATATTGAAAATACAGTGGTCTCCTGTGATTGTGGTATTTTCCTGTAGAAACAGTATAGAACAATCCTCTTCTGTGTTGCTCAACACTCTCTCTTTAGCTGAAGTGTCATGATCAGGTGTAAGACAGTAATAAAAACGCAATATAATACAATAGGTGTGATATAAATCTCAATGTAATGTGTAAAAACCTTTCAATCTTAAGCTTTCTTGCTAAAATTTTAGGTGAATGTGGAGATTCAAGAATGTTTTTCCAAGGTTGCAAGCATATGGACTAAAGAAATTAACTGTTTTTTTAAATCATCAAGTTATATAAGAGTAATATTTCTGTGCAACCAAGGTTACTATAAAAACATAATAACACATATGGTCTCTTCAAATTCTTCTTTATTCTAGTTCCCAGAACTATTTATATGTATATTCCTAGAAGTTATTATGTACATATTTTCACACATTACAGGGTTCTTATTTAAGTAATAAAAACAGTATATGTTATTCTTGAAGAAAAGCCTCCTGCAATTTAGAACTGAATAAAATATAAATAAAAATACAAGCAGAAGGCACATGATGAGACATACTTGCAGTTTCAGTCCTTTGAAGTGGAGACAAGAAGATCAAGAGTTTAAGGCCTACCTCAGCTGCGTAGCAAGAGTGAGGCTAACCTGGGCTCCATGATATTCTGTCTCTAACAAACAAAAAAGCAAAAGCACCTCTCAATCATATTATTCAAATATTCATATTAACATTGACACCACATAATTACTAATTCATTAGATACAACAAAACACACAGCCATAAATATGACTTTGTGATCATAATTTTCCTCTTGATGACTTAGCATGGCCATCTTTCCATGTTTGCATCCATATCAATGCTACTTTTAAAAATTTACTAGAGATCCACATCTAAGCAGATATGAGCAGTGCTGCTGCAATGAACATGCTTGTCCATATGTGTCTGTTAACTCAGAGAGATTATACCCTTAACATTTTGATAGTCCTTGACTAATCCAACAGAAATGCTGTTCACCATATTTTTCATTTGCATCTTTTTCTCTCTTAATTTTTTTCTGTATATCTTCTTTCTTTCTCTGCCTACTGGTTTAACCCTGGGCTATCTCTCCAGCCTCTGCTCACTCACTTTCTAGGAAAGTTTAAGGTTAAAGTCATTCTAGGATGGTATAAGATACTCAGTGCCATGAGTTATTCACTGAACGCCTCTTGGTAGTTTTTTGTTAGAATTTAGTTCCAGGCTTTACAAAATAGAACAAGAATAATTGAGAGAGCACACTGGGGCTTTCTGGATTAGTAGGCAAGCTGCTGACACTGAGCATGTCAGAGACTTCACTGTGAATATCACCTCATCTTTAATATGGGCACAATAATAGCAGCTATTTCAAAGACTGTTGGAGAGATGTAGATGTGAACCTGTGGTCACATGGGACAGTCCTTTGATACAGTGATATCTTGGAGGCACACTAGAAGACTAGCTAGAGTTCATGGAGCAGCAACAATATACAAGTCAAACTAAAATGCTTACACCACAATTTCCTCCATCAACTTAAAACAAAGTAAAATGCACAGGGAGAGAGATGGGTAGACATTACACATAAAACAAGGTGCTGTTGGGTGGGAGGGTCACGTCCCCTAAGTTGCCCTCTACAGTATACATAACCTCCATCTGGACTGTGTCCCTCTTCCTTGATTGTGACAGCTTGTGTCCAAGCACACTTGGCCAGTGGTGGTGTTCATAGGAAGCCCGATGAACAGATGGCAGATGATCCCATGTGAGAATTAGCAAGGCACACCATGTGTGGCTGGTTCAGCGGTTCATTCTTACTGTGTACCCTGTAGGCTGTTTTTCTATTTATATATCCACAATGTTTGCTTCTGTGGTTGCCAGCTAAATAAATCACAGCTCTTCAGTATCTGTGTTTCCATGTTCTTCTCATCCCATGTTCACAGACTAATGCTTGTAGTCTGTGCCTGATATGTATAGACTGTCTCCACATAGCTATTTAATTTCCAGTCTGTATTCTCTTGTTTGTTGTTGAACAGAATTGAGTACTGCCAATCCATATAGCAACTGCATATTTTGCATATGTACATACATGTTCACAGTCGTATTTTAAGACTACAAATGAAAATTGTAGTTACTGATGTCTGAGTTTTTGTGTACATGTGTGAATGTAGTGCTTGCCTTGGTATGAGAGTATGGGCATATACATGTGTATGTGTGTAGAGGGCAGAGGAGAACTTTTGGTTTTGATCCTCAGAAGTTACTCATCTTGTTTTTCAAGGTAAATTTTCTCATTGGCCTGGAGGACACCGAAAGCGATAGGCTGCCCACCCACCAGGCCAAGAGGCCTGCCTGTCACCAACCACCTTCCCTGTGCCAGAATTGCCAGCTCTGCCACCTTCCCTGGGCCTTATGTTTTCGTGGGTTCTGGGAATCATTTGGGTCCTCATGCTTGCAAATAGTTTACCAATAAAGCCATTCTACCCAGTCCTGAATATTCTCACAGCTGCATAAGATACAGATAATCTCCCTAGCTAAACTATCTCCAAATAAGTTTTAAAAACGTTAACCAAAATGATTTGACCCCAAATACAAAATTTATTAGGCAAACCATTTTACTGCTAATTTATCCCCCTCAGTTTTCAATTGTAGCATACAAGGATGGCATATTTTTTATTTTTTTCCTTCTTTCCAGGCTTATCCTCAGTTTGTCCTGACTTACCTGGAAGAGTTCACTGCTCTGGGGGATATGAGCCCAACAGGGGACCATATTAACCACAGAGCCTGGACCATATCTCATCAAGAACATGACAGACCCTGTGTGGAAGAGGTCAGTGTGGTGGCCAGAGGCAAGACAGAAACAGACCTCTTAAGTGTATCTTGAAAAGAAAAAAAGTATTCTAGTTGTTGTTTTCAGGAAACAAGCCCAAATTCTCATGACAATGCTGTTGATTGTTTAAGTCACATGATGCTCTAATATTCTTCTTTAAAAAAAGACTTATTTTTTAGTTTGTGTGTGAGTGTTTTGGCTTTATGTTTGTACATGGGCTGTGTGTGCCTAGTGCCTGTGGAGACCAGATGAAGGCATTGGATCCCTTGAAACTGGAGGGATGGATGGTTGTGGGCTGCCATGTGGGTGCTGGGTATCAAGCCCAGGCCCTCTGGAAGAGCACTGCCAGGCTCTTAACTGCTGAGCCACCTCTCCAGCCCCATACTGTAATATTCACAGACATGTTTATATTTATATTTATATAAGTTCAGTGGTGTATAGATATTTTGTTAACAGATGGTAATAGCCTATACTTCACATAGGATTTCCCTTATTTGTTCTGGCTGCATACAAGATCCTGTGCTGTAGGAAAACACAAAGAACCAGGAGCCTTTCAATATTATGTTTTGAGAACATATATCATAAACATTTTCACTCAGTGAAAATTAACTACACCATTCCTTTGTCTCATTACAAGGGTTTACAAAAACAGGCCAACAGCCCTTTACTGAAGCAGCTGCCGGAACCCTCGGATACTCACGATGAGCCGCAAGGCTCTCTGGAGGAAACAGAGCAGCTGCCAGTGGCGCTGCTGAGGAAACTGGGAGGAAAACATCCAAAGGCTCCTGCTCAGAGGTAGGGGATCCACAGAGCGCGCTTCATTGCTCAATGACATTCGACGTTTTCCTTCAGTTTCATGTAAGATTGATTTCTTGAAGATTGTTGAAATATCTCAAAAGCCCTTTGGCTTTCAATCATAGTAGTATCAGGGTCATATTTGATGAAGAGAGGTGACATTTATGTGTATTTCATTGAAGACTGATGCATGTAATCATTTATGAAGATATTTAGGATGGATTGTAGTCTTAGGATCTCAGTAAAACACACATAAACAACATAATTAAGCAAAGGTAATACTGAGCATATATCCAATTTTGAAAGTGCCTACAGGTCTTTGAGAAAGGCAAATACATAGGCAATCCCTTTGTTTTTTTCTACAAGGAGTGCATTGTACTTCCATCCGATGATCTTCTATAGTGACCCGTAATACCTTAGCCATTTCTATGACCAGAGAGAAAGAAGCATCCATGGTTTGTTAAGAATTCCAAATTATTCCTGGTTGGAAAATGGAAACTATTTTTCATATTCTCCTCACCTAGCCTGATTAACAGTTGTTATAACTGTGGTTTTATTGGTTGACAATCACTTTATAAGCTGCAGTTTAAATCTATTCTTGTTTGAAATGACTGTAGATTCACATGATCTCACAGAAGTAATGCATTGTCACGCACGCTGATTTAGTTTGATGATGCCCCTAACTTTAATTCAGCAATTCAGATAGAAGTGCAATTTGTATTAGAAAGAACAGAATCCTTAGAACTTTGTAAGCTGGAGGCTATTTCACGTTCTTAAATTACAGAACCCATCTCAATTGACTGTCTTTAATGTGTTGTTATTTGGATGATGAGGTTCACAAATACCAATTTTTTTATCTTACTTTCTCCTAGTGTGAGGGTTTCCTGGATGGCATCAAAGTTCAGGTTTTCTGTGGTTCTCAGTTTCTAAGCATTCACAGGTTTCTCAACTCTATGGGGCTTTGTGGCATGAGTACAGGCTGCAGCCACATGACCTGGCCACTGTCCACAGCATGCTTGGTGCCACTCTCATGTCTCCATGGTAAGCGTCCCTTGGAAATAGTCTTCACTGTTTCCATTTGAAATGGGGAACTCAAGCAATACCAGGGCACTTGGGGTGTGTTGAGACTTCCTGTGAAGCTACCATCGACTTGTCTTCCTAGACTCACACAGCCATCTTTGTCTTTTCCTGCAGAGCGTTTGGATTTTATCATCTTGGGCTTAGTTCTTACACTGGGCTCTAGACGAACATATTTCTTTTGCTTTCAGGTTCCTGTCATCCCTACAGGATTTTTGTTCTTCCATGCTAATTCCTGCTCTTATGGTAATTTACCCACTATCTACACTTTCTGTCTCCCCAGGCTGGAAGTAGTTTTCCCTGAGGGTATAGGCTTACCACAGGTTAGGGACTGGCCATCTTTACTCTGTTGTTTTGAATTTCCTGGGGGTGGGGTGGAGGGAGGAAGAGTACAATCTGATAACTTAATGTTAGAGAGAGGAGCAAAGTAATAGAGAGCAATGCCCCACCTTCCCTGGCCACAAAACATATTAGCTGATGTATTATATATTGGACCGTTAAATTTGATGAGATAATTTTAAATGTTCAGAAAAATCAGTAACACTCACTAAATGTCAGTTCTGAAAATGTTCTGAAAACAAATAAGGATAAAAAAGAATTTTAAACAAGCATTATGTCTACTCATCGACTATCACAGTGGGAATCTCCTGTGGTCACTCAGAGCCTAAATATTTAAATGGAAAACTCCAGAAGTAACCAATTCACAACTTTTATTGGATTGTGTTGCTTTATTTATTAGCTGTTATTAATTTAATTTCTTATTATGACTAATTTATAAATTAAACTTTAATATTAGTATTATTGTGTCAGTGTAGAAAACATTGATATATAGGTTAGCTCTAAAAATTTACTTCTAAGTGTGTGTGTCCACGCATGCACACATGAGTACAAGACCTGCAGAGACCAGAGGATGGCATTGATTCCCTTGGACCTGGAGTTATAGGCAGTAGTGAGCTACCTAATATGGGTACTGGGAATTGAACTTGAGTCCTCTGGGAGAGCCAAACAAACCATTAAATGGTGAACATCTCTCCACCCTCAACATCTCTCCACCCTCAGAATTTAATTCTGTATACTTTCTGGAACTCCTATATTTAGAATTGTGGGTTTTGTCAATAACAATTTACTGGCACTGGGTGGTGATGGAACACACCTTTAATCCCAGAACTCAGGAGACAGAGGTTGGTGGATCTCTGTGAGTTTGTGGCCAACCTGGTCTGCAGAGTGAATTCCATGACAGGCTCCAAAGCAATACATAGAAATCTTGTCTCAAAAACCAATAAATAAATAAAAATAAATGACTGGCAAATATATCTGTAGTTTCCTTCTCATAAAAAATTGCCCAAGGGCCTTTTCTCTGTAGGCATCACACAGAGCTTAGAACTTTTGTTCTAAAAATTGAAGTACTTTCTGCCTCTCTCCTTCATCGTTGACCTCAGCAGATGCAGTTCATCTTTCTTTCTGTGTTATTTATCACAATCCTTTTGAATGAATAGCACAATACTTACAGTAATTACTTTCCTCACATGTTGAAAGGAACTGTGGAAAAATTAGAGTAAAAGTGGGGTAGAATTTAGTATGCTGATGACTTTTGAATCCTAGATTGTCTCATTAGATTTGTGTGTATTCCAAATATTAGAATCAACGTATTGTATTGTGGTATGTATATATATATACACATATACATTAATATATTTTATAGATATAGATATATGTTTATGTATATGTAGTCATACATGCCTTTCTTAATGTTAATTCAATTAAGGCAAAGCTCACTGCAGATAATAAAGGAATGATATAAAATTACCTGAGTTGTGAAGATGGGAAACTGAAAAGAACTAGGTGTGTCATAATCTAGCTTTACATCCCTTAGAAGGATGGAAGATGGGAGCCACAATACTCAACTTGTAAAAATAAAGGGAGATGGTCCTTAGTGTCAGATACTAGGACTTGTGACCTTATTGAGTGCTGTACATGTATTATCATCCAATAATTTATACAGTCAGTAAGCAGGAGATTTATCTCAGTTTTACTGATGAGAACACTGAAGCTGAGGAGATGCACTGTTTTGAATAAGGCTTCTCAGTAATTTAAGGCAGGACAATCATTGTTCAAATCCTACTCTTAGTATCTGTCATGAGCGGCTTAACCATTGGCACTCTTGTCATAGCAGTCACTCCATATCTCAGCTCTTCAGATGAGGCTGGCATTTGAACTGAGTATCTTAAAGTGGAGACTTTTGAATAAAGTAGAGTAATTTGGAATGGGGATAATGGAAGTGATAGTTTTCTACAAAGACTAAGTAAGAAACAGAAATCATTAAAGGACCAAATCCCAACTTGCTGTTGCATCTAACTTTGTAGGTCTGTAGTCTAGATGCCCTGATTTACAGAGGCCTAATCTTGAAGTCAATCATTTTCAAAACTCCTTTCCTGGTCATGTGGCTATAACTTGTGATAGATACTTCATGCTTTAGTGATTAAAAACTAATAGGTGCTGTTTGGTGGATCCGTAACATGTAACCACTGATATTCTACATATTTATTCTCAGAGCATCCAGAGGGATTGATTTGCTTTCAGGTCTCATAGCCTGATGATATTATTACTTTCAAAATCAGTGAACATACAGAAACAAAAAAAAGTATTTATGTAATGCAGTTTTGAGACATACTATCTCTGTTATGGAGAGTGGATTCAAACACAGACATGTGTGGCTCTATAGATATCCTTTTTTCTCACTACCTTTATTTATTTATGCCATACCAGTATGTGTGTTATTTCTTTAAAAACTAGGTTAAACTATTTCATTTTGCTTGGTCTGTTCTTCTGAATTTTATTCTTAAACAAAACTCACATGCTCACCCACCCACAGCACCACACAATCTAAAACAATAACCAAGAACTATGTCCTCCCTCCTACAGGGTCATTTTAATTAATTCATATTTCCAACACTCAGGAATATGTCTAATTGTTGATTGTTCTTTATTGTTGTAACATGGGAAAATCCTTTTCTCATTGAAAAAGAGAATCCTCTTATTGTAAGAGGTCCTAATGCAAGTTACTAGTTTATGGAGGATATATTCTCTTGTTTGACCTGGTGACTGACACTTTAGCAAAATATTTTTGTGTTGTATATACATTTGATTCCAAGTTTAATACAAAAGAAAATAAATGTCATTGTCATTGTTGAGTATCTGGAATGTGTTTGTTTACATTAGTTTGGCCAAAGGAGCCCCTTAACAATATTTAGAGTGAATAAGAGGTGGAGAAAGAGTGGGACAGCCAACAAAGCATGCTGACCCAGCTTGTCACCCAGTGACCTGTGAGAGGAGAATAATGAACTGTGAGTAGCTGTCAACCTAACTGTTTCTGACAGTGTGCCTTTGGGCACATCTGTGTTAGTGGCATTGGAAGGGCCTTTGTTCTTTTCCCACTAGTGACGTTCTGAGCAGTGAGGTCTCTGCTGCTACACTCACGAGCAGCCCCTTCCTTCCCAGGGAAGCAAGCAGCTGCCATGGACTGCCCTGATGTTTGTCTTCATGACTCAAGTTGGCATGCACTTCATTCTTTGAAGAGATCAGACATTTAAAAGTGCTTTGATGATTTTTCATTAAAAATGTACTTTCATGTCTCACTAACAAAAGGGGTGAATTATAAAATATGTTTCGTGTCATTCTGATTTTGCACTGGTAAAGGTAAAGTCATACAGTAGGTGGATGGGTGAGTAATTTGAGGGAAATGCATCAAAGTATCAGTAGCTGTTACTGGGTTTTACAATTCTATTTATAGCATTTCTCCCAAGATTTAAGACTCAAATACCATATTTAAATGAATATAAAATAGGTAGGAATCAACACAGGTTATGAAAAACATCTTAATATAGACACTTGGTGCATACTTTACTGGGAAGAATATTTGGGCT